TATCATTCTGGATTCCTTAGAAATAATAGTTCATGTGGCTACCAATCTACATCATAATCTTCTAGGGACAGTACTAAAAGTGCTCCTGCATAGTTTATCTCGCAATCAATCGACCCTGGCATTGCAAAATTTATTTGCTTCTCAACGTGCGTTGATCTTTAAATTTCCAAATCTTCTGTTTGAAGAAGAAACCGATATATGCGCAGATTTATGCCTCTTACTGTTAAAGCATTGCGCATCACAATTGCCAGGCATTCGTTCACAGGCAGCTGCATCGTTGTACTTGCTAATGAGACAAAACTTTGAAATTGGAAATGTAAGTATATAAATAATAATTAAACCAAGTAATGTATAACTATTTGCCATGGCTGAGTGACTAACTGACTGACTGGTTGCTGATTAAAATACAGACCAATCCGTAAATTTGTACAGTAATTACGTTTACGCTGAGACGGAGGTGTGGAAAATTCAATGTTTGTCCGTTCGGCTTCAATACTCTACATTAAAATGATTGGGAAATAGGTTGAAAAAAGTGTTGATTTTTTTTGTTTTATATCGGGCTAATTCATATTCCATTTCAATTATCTATTTCAAATCACATTTTAAATGTACTTCACCAATGGAATGAGCTTTTAAAGAAATATGGGCTAAGTTTAATTTTCAGATGGGCGGAAAATCAGTTGAGTATAATAGTTGCTGAGACATAGAGAAAAATCTTGGCTCAGACAAAGCGGGTAAATACCTTTTTTTATGAACAGAAGTATATGTATCCACATCTTCCATTTTAGAACTTCGCACGCGTCAAAATGCAGGTAACTATGTCACTAAGCTCTCTAGTGGGGACTAGTGCATCTTTTAGCGAACAGTCGCTTCGTCGTGCGTTAAAAACAATTTTAGTCTACGCCGAGTCCGATGCAGACTTGCAGGAAACTTCTTTTCCAGAACAAGTGCAAGATTTACTGTTCAATCTGCATATGATCCTCTCAGATACTGTCAAAATGAAAGAATACCAGGAGGACCCAGAAATGTTACTTGACCTAATGAACCGCATAGCAAAAGGCTATCAAAACAATCCAGACTTACGGCTAACATGGCTAGAAAACATGGCTAAAAAGCACCGTGAACGCGCTAATCACACCGAGGCGGCCATGTGTTATATACATGGTGCTGCCCTAGTTGCAGAATACCTTAGTATGCTGGAATCCCAAACACATTTGCCAGTCGGTGCGGTAAGTTTTCAGCGCATTTCACCAAATACGTTTATGGAGTCTGCGGTATCGGATGATGTTCTTAGTCCAGGTGAGGACGGCATCTGTCTGGGCAACCACTTTACTGAGACTGGATTAAAAGCATTGCTCGAAGAGGCTTCTAATTCTTTTCAAGTGGCAGGAATGTATGAAGCTATGAACGAAGTATATAAAGTATTAGTTCCTATCTGTGAGGCGAACCGTGAGTTTCACAAGCTCGGCAAAATTCATGGCAAGCTGCAAGAAGCGTTTAATCGAATTGCACAGTTACAGGTAAGTGCGAAATGCAAAACTCCTGCCGGTATGCAAGTCTGATATACAAAATTTCAGTCAGAACTTAATCGTCGATCAAATCATACACTGCTACATTCTTACTTTTTATAGGGTAAAAGGGTGTTTGGAACGTATTTTCGCGTTGGTTTCTATGGTGCCAAATTTGGAGATCTGGACCAGCAAGAATTCATTTACAAAGAACCCACATTAACGAAGTTGCCAGAAATATTTAGCCGACTTCAGGTACTCTAATATTGATATGATGAAATTTTATACCATTTAATCATTATCTCATTTAGAACTTCTATGCGGATAGGTTTGGTCCTGAATCGGTGCATATTATTAAGGACTCAAATAATTTTGATACAAACACATTGGATCCAGAAAAGGCGTATATACAAATCACTTATGTCGAACCCTACTTCGAAACCTATGAAATGCGTCATCGTGAGACTTACTTTGAGCGAAATTTTAATATAAGTATGTCATTTTTATCTTTTGTTTTTTTTTTTTATTCTCAGCTACATGCATGTTTGTTTTTGGACAAACCAATAAGCTTTCTTGATTAAGACTCGTCCGTTTGTCTGTTTCCGTAAGAAATAATTATTTTTTGTTTGAAATTGTGTTTTTGTGTGCAATATTGGTGAAGTGGGTATGCTTTGTATTCGGATGTATGCAAACGCAAAATAGTACACTAATTGTTGAGCAACATCAGCAGCACAGTTGATTAGACCATATTCGTCTGCTTACATATCAATCTTATTACTTTCAAGCGCATAAGCTCCTTTTCTAATTTAGGTTTTGGGTACCTTCCCTACAAGCACCTCCACATTCTCATTTGTAACAAAATTATAAAACGCAGTTTGAGATTTTATTGATTTGGAATACTCACAAACACCATCTTATTCGACCTACAAATATAAAGTCATAAGGTAACAAACGCAGAAGCTACCAAACTGTGGGGCTGCCTAAAATGAAACATGCTCGCTTTGGGTGTATGAATGTATTTTACCATGCAAGTATACTGACGGAATTTAAAATCATACCACTAAATTCTACTTTTGCCCTTAGAATGTTTAATATTTGCAACACCTTTCACAAAAAGCGGAAAGGCTTATGCACAATTACATGAGCAATGTAATCGATAATCAATTTTACCAACAGCTAACCACTTCCCTTGAGTTTAATTTCATTTAATTAATTTATCCTTTCTCCCTTAGAACGTTTTATATTTGCAACACCTTTCACTAAAAGCGGAAAAGCTCACGGAGAATTACATGAGCAATGTAAACGAAAAACAATTTTAACAACAGCTAACCACTTCCCTTACGTTAAAACTCGTATCCAAGTAATCAGTAGAGCGCAATTTCAATTGGAGCCGATTGAAGTGGCAATAGGTAAGTAATTAAAATAAGTTCACCTAAATAGTAGAGTGACTTCATCTTATTAAAAAAAATATTTTCCATGGGCTTAAACAAAATAACTTTGATATATATATATATATACGTATATTAAAATGGAACATTACATTTGGGTGTGACACAGAAGTCTCTTTGGTATTTTGTACGAAGGCATATAAATATTATATGTGTGTGTGTGCGTCTGTGTGTTAGTGTATGCATGCATGTATGTATGTATATGTGTGCATGCATGTTTGTTTTCTAATACCAAACGCAGACCAAGCATATTTGACGCTCTGCTGCAAATTTAAATAAAACGAATTTTTACCAGGTGCTCTACTCCTCGATTCTCAAGAATTCAAGTAGGGTCTGCAGTTTTTTATGCTTAGCTAGTAGTGTAGTATTTTTTTTGGTCTTTTTTGTTGTTGTTTATTTTTATTGTTTTTGATGTTGTTTTATATGTATGTATGTCGTTTATATGTATGTGATGCGTGTGTACATATATATGTCTGCATGTCTGTATGTACATATGTATGTATGTAAATATGTATGTATGTATGTACATATGTGTGCATGGCAGCTATATAATATAGTGGTCCGATCTGCATATATATGAGGAGCATAGTAAAACAAATAAATGCCGAGTTTAATCAAGATATCTTTATAAACAAAAATGTTTTTCATACAAGAACCTACTTTTCGACCGACAAACGGACATGGCTATATCGACTCGACTGTTGATACTGATCAAGAATATATATACTTTATGGGGTCGGAGGTGTCTCCTTCTATGCGTTATACATTTCACGACAAAATTTTAATACCCTCTGCAAGGGTATAAAAAGGTTCATACAATCTTTTAAGCTTCCTAGCTCTTACGGTTCAACGGCTGTGCGTTGATCACCAATCAGTCAGTCATTCGGTCAGTCATTCTGTCAGTCAGTCATTCAGTCAGTCAGTCAGGACAAACAGTTTTATATATATAGAGATATAGAATATGCTTTAAGAAGAATAAAAAAAAATAAATATGGAACATATTTCAAATGGAATACGAAGCTCTCCACCAAGAAAAGGTTTAAATCAATTATTATTAACATTTTTTTTAATGTATCCAATCATAGAGGACATCCAAAAGAAAACACTGGAATTAGCTGCAGCTACCAATCAAGAGCCAGCCGACCCAAAAATATTGCAAATGGTTTTACAGGGCTGCATTGGTACTACCGTCAACCAAGGTCCAATGGAAATGGCTAGTGTATTTCTGTCAAACTTATCCGATGGCGCGACCATACCAACGAAGCACCAAAATAAATTACGATTGTGTTTTCGCGAATTTTCGAAACGGTGTGCGGATGCTTTAAAGAAGAATAGAAATCTGATATTATCGGATCAAAAAGATTATCAGCGGGAACTTGAACGTAACTATGAGCGCTTTGTGGAACGTCTAACGCCGCTTATCACACTTACTTCAGTACAAACACAAGGTGTTATAAAGTAAGTTGAAATTAAACTACAAAATTAATTGAAATTTAAATATGGTTTACTATTTGCAGAGCCAATGCTTATCAAAATAAAAGCACACCATTAAAATGGTAACTTATACGCTCCAAATTAATTTATATTAATTACAATGAAAATAATTTGATCTTTAATAACCCAATTTTTACACATTTTTTACATGCCTAGTGTGTCGGATTATTTTAAGTAAGTTTTTATGCACACAATATCCAAAGCGATTTAAATTCAACACAATTACATTTATACATAATATATTTATAATATAATATTCTATAAATGCATACTTCTATGGCTATAAATATATCAAAATAATTATCATATTATCCATTTAGAATATTGCCATATTCGTAATTATAATTATAGTCCTACGCAATGAAGTACTGATAATTTTTTAATTATAAATATAACATAATATACATAATTAATTATTTATTATATTGTCCGATTCACAGTTTTACTAAATATTGGTATACTGAATCCATTTAGGTTTTTATGAATTTATATATCAAACGCGAAATCAATCAATATGATTTTTTCCGAATTTTGATATAGTTTTTATTGAACTAATTTGTATAAATAAAGCTGTTAGTATATACAATTACATAAGTATAGACCAAATTATTATTAACTTATTCAAAATTATAAGCTATCGTTTTCACGCCATTGAAGAAGTCACTAGTACTAAATGAGAAAAGAGTTTCTGAATTCAATGGATCACTTTTCTGAACATATTCTGGTACATTTTCGTCTGCATTGCTCACAATTCGTGTCCACTCGGCCAAGTCGTCATTTGGATTTGTATGGTTTGCTTCTTGGTGTAAAGGCTTTAACATAAACTGCAAGTCCTGCAATTGTTTCAAAAAGCGTACTGAAAATATAAAAAGTTAGATGAAACATAGCACTTCGGCAAGCATCAACTTTAATTATCCTGCAAATATTTTACAAACGTAAATTATTAAATAACAATCTCTATATATATAACTATTTGTCAAATTTATTTAAGAGGTGCCATCCCTCCGTGGTGTAAATAGAAATTAAAGATTTGGTGGGTGTTGTTTCTGAGAGTTTTGACCGATTTGAATACGTGTTTCAGCGTAGCGGAAAACGCTTGCATGCAACTTATTTCTTTACCATCGGATCGGCTTCAAACTCAGTTATATAATAAGTGCGCTTAGAGATTTCCCAATATTAGATACATTGGAAATGGCTCATTTTCTAGCAATAATATACTTATATGTGGTATTATGTACGTGTTTGTCCCAAAACGGATCCTTGACCTATTTTTGCTTATCACAACAGAAAATGATATATTTGATGCGCATTATTTTAACATTTCAATAATGTACTTTGTAATTAATAAAATGATATCGTAGATTTTTTGCACAGACGGACAGATAAGAATTACTTAATTGGCTTAAGGATTTTTATTCAATTGGCTTATGAATACAGATTATATAATTGCGTACCAAATTATACTTACAATGTACGTCCTGGAAATTCAACAGCTGCGCCTGACTCTGCCACCAGTTACACAATAAATATAGATAATGTTTTGTTGTTTCTTCAGAGTCTCGGAAAATGCAGGTGAGGTAATATTCACGAAAGATAAGTGTAAATAAATGCAATGAAATCTGTGAGATTTCTCCAACTTGTAAGATATCTGCATAAACATTTAAAATATATAGTGCATTTGGTACATTTATTATTCACTTACCTGACTTTTTGTCTTGAAGCATCCACTGATACATCATTTGATAAACGATTGTAACAACGCTTAGACAAAGTTTTACATAGCATTCGCATTGAATTTCTTGTGAAACCTTGTCCTGCACAGGAATTGAAGAAATCTTGGACATGTTGGTTGGGTTATGCGCTGACCCATGAAAAGTTTCTGTAGTATTATTAATCGTTACATCAGAATTCAATCCGACGACTTTAGAAAACATGTCCTCGTTGTCTTCCTTTTCGTCATCAGTAAATGATTGAAATAAAACCATTTTCAGTATGAATTCAGGTGTTGCTGTGAAGCATTGGTAAACAAAGCGCACATGATTCTCGCATATCGCAAGCAAAAGCTTGAAGTGACTAGGTTGGATAGGCAGATCGCTGCAAAAGCACACCTCGAGCAGCCCTGCGTATACCTGTATTAAACACGACTTGGGAGCAAAACGGTAAAACGAACGAACGCGATCTGATACAAAGCAATTACTTGGACTATTAACACACATTCTTGCCATAAGTTGGCTCTTTCGTGCGCATAATAACATGCATGCACTGAGCTCACGAAAAACCCATGGGCTTGGGCGAGTGAAAACCAATTGTTTTAGTAAATTAAAGAGTAATTCAAGTTGAAATCCATATGTATCTTGATTTACTTGGCTAACATGGCTTAACAAACTGTGCAGAAACACTGCAGTGGCTTCAAGAACACCAAAATGACCGAACACCTCGAAAGAGTAACTTAAATTGGTAATCGCCTCAATTAGTATCTGCAATACCCAGTATTTACCATACTGTTTTGTTAGCAATGTTTGCGATATGCTGCTTTGTTTCTGGCAAATCATCGCCAACGTGCCAATATAGCGACGCACAAGGACTGCCTGTTCCATGTCGTATAAAGCGCCAGACTGAATCAATGAAAAGCGCATAGTTGTACATTGATCTGATTGTAGATCAAAATGATGATAGGGATATAGCATACAGTTTTGTGGTAACTCCAAGCTTTGGGTATAGGACCAAAACTCGGTTAGGACTCTACCCACAGACATAAATATGCGGCCAGTTATTGCTTCGACAGATTCAGGCTCAGACTGTATTTGAGCGTAATCAAGAAGCAGTTGCTTTAACTCGACTTCAAAAAAAGTACGTTGCTTTTTTTGACCGCGTGTATCTTTCGTATACTCGTAGATATGGCCTTTTACCTTCGTGGAACTTTGTTTTGCAAAAGGGCTTCCGATAGATAAATTTTCTATTCGAAGCAAACTCCTGCATTCGTCGGCATCGGTGACTGACGGCTCTGAATTTTCTTTGAATGTGTTTCGCTCGTTATTTGTAGCATTCCTAATTTTAAGCTTGGAAAACTCTACATTTGTAATTTTCAATTCTGCGTCTTTTGCTAACATTTGCTTAAAAGCTTTTGCAACTTTTTCATTGTAGTCCTTTTCTCCTTCTTCAGCCATTGTAAGCTTGTCCATCTTGCTAGCTTGAAGCAGTTTACGTGCTTGTCGGAGTTCGTTGCGGAGTAAACCCACCTTTGGAATATGTATAAGTTAAAGTTTGAAATAATGTTATACCTACTCACCTCGCCATCCTTAGCGCTGGCTTGGTTGTTGCTATCCGACAGGTCTTTCTGCAATTTTGCATTCTCCTTTTTAAGCACATCAACACGTTCCATTAAAAATTTTAGTTGGCGCTCTTGTGCCAGTTGACGTCTAGTTTCCGTTGCCAGATTTGAGGAACCGTCCGTCCATTTGTTTGCAGTACCTGTTTCAACCTCTCCTAAAGCTGTTTTTTGCCCACGTCCAGCATCGGGTAAGAAAACAAAAGTTTCATCAGTCCCAAATATTTCTTCCACACTCAAGCCCGAAGGGAGATCGATCCCTAGCAGCTCATTTGCAAATATTTCCTGAGTACTCGTACTGCCATGAGCTTCAGCCACAAATTCATTAAAGGCAACTTGGCTCTCACTACTTTGCACGCGATCAGTTTGCCGCTGCTTTTCTTCTGCTTGTTGAGTAGCTAACAAAACGTCATCGTCGTCGTCACTCGCCCAGAATTCCCATATTTTAGAAGTGTTCGCGCTGATCCGCCTGCGATTAACGCTTACGTCCAATTTAATCTTTTTAGCATGCCCAAACTTATCCATTGGACCGAGCCGCTTGGCCATTTTTAAAGGTGTACACAAATACAATCCAATGATATGATTGCTCTTCAATGAACGAACAAAAAATTGCTGCTCACTGAACTAGGCGGTAAATATGTTTTGTTTTGGCCGATGAAATGATCAATAAAAACAAGTTTAATAGGATACAAATTAATTCAAATAATGGTTTTTATTTATACCCACTGAGAGAGCAATGTTATAATAGTTTCTACGAATAAAAGAAAATAGTTATCGGTAATTCAATTATTAGTGTCAACCATAAGCAACAAATGAACGTCGGATTCAACAATATGAGCGAACTGACTCAGCTTTTAAACTGATTGGACTTTAAGAAGAAGAAAAGGATGTGCCCACTAAAGAAGCATCATTTATCCGACAATTTAAAATGTTCTAAATTAATAATTGCGATACCGAACAAATATTTATAAAATTTGCTCAAGTTTTCACATGAGATTACTTCAAATCGATTCAGAAGGGTTTTAAAGATTCTTAACAGTAGACTAACATTATCGATTAGTTTGATTAGTTCATTTGCGGTAATGAATCGACATTCAACGTAATTTACAGTCAACTGTCCAGCCCTGGCGGTATATCGATATATTGTCTGTTTCTTTTCGATGCTTACTGTGTAAGCCTTACACAGTTGAAGAGAGGATTCGGTATGAACGCGTCGACCACTATTTTTCGAAGTGCCGAAATAAAGATAAGTCCGTTCCAAACGCGTTAAATAAGTTCTAAATAATCCGCTATAAATATAATTGACTTGATTTAGGGTAACTGTGCCACAACAAACATTTTTTTGAGCCAGTTCGCAAGCGCACAGACTCGAATGTGAGAAAAATATATGAAAGCAGGAGCTATACGGCCGCCACCGCGCAACTGCAAATGATTAGTGGTAGCAACTCTACAGGCGCAATTTAAAGCAACAAAAAAATTAAAATACATTCCTGTACACACAGCAGTATTTATGCAAAATTGTGATTTAAAAAAGTACGTTTAATTATTTATGTACCAATATATCTATGACTCAGCCGATGTAGCGTTCATAAGTATGTATACATATGTGTTCTCTCGCAGAAGTACATTCTGATAATTTCCGTGAAAATTGCGTGTCTCTTGTATTCTAATAAAAATAAAAAAAAATTTTACATCAATGTGCATTTTGTTATTGTAGATCGTGTAATACAATTTACTAAAATTCTATAAGCATACAGTAAGCAACATTTTTAAAACAATTAATGCTAATTTATGTTCGGGCGTCGCCTAACAAATGCCAACAAAAACACGAGTGCTTTGTTAGTGTATTCGAATGCGTGATGGCTTGCTGTCACGCACACTATACAAACTGGCTAGTAGTAAACTAATACTTTCATAAATATACGTATGTATAGGTTTATGTTATACAAAGAAGTTTTCTTCTATTCGTCCATTGTGCTGAGTAGGGAGTTCATTAACATTATTTATTGAATCGTTGTAAAAGTCATTCATTTACTCAGTTAAAGCCATATTAATACATTCTTGTCAAACACACATTCATGACGCTGGAAAAATGATCTCACCATAGGTTTTCTAATTTTGTGATATGCTTCTATGCAGTAGATTGTACTTTTTTTTTCAATGTACACATATGTATAGCTTCAAGCAGCTCCTTTACGCCTACATGAAATATCAGGCTTACGTTTTTAAACTGAGCACAACTTGTTTAACAAGTTAGGTAAGTCGAGGTCATGTTGCGGTTTGAGGTACCATTTTCTTTTGCTATTTGAATATTTACATAGTTTTTTCTATCTTCCCAGGCTTGTGAGTTTTTTATGCAAAAATTAAAAAAATTTCTATAAGTTTCATCAGTTTGACTAATCCATAATTATGTTTAATTTGGCCGCTGTTCTATCAATATTAGGAAATTTGAGTCATATGATCTAATTATTTTAAAGAAACACTTTATTAAACTACAAAATTTTATATATATATATATAATTATATATTTTTGCATTTTGCAGACTCGTAAATCGACAAACCTAAATCCATAAAAAAAAAATACAATTATGTTGAAGTTTATACGTGGAAAGGGTCAACAGCCAACAGCTGAACGACAGCGACTACAGAAGGAGCTCTTTGCATATCGTAAGGTATGTATTTACATACATATATATATATATCTGTCTTAAGTCAAGCTGTAGGATTTTAGCAAAAAACTAAAATTGACTCCTTATGTGAAAAAAATATAAGTGATTAAGGTGTACTACTATGTCTGCGACAATATAATCCGAATTTAAAAGGTAGAATATCACCTTAAATTTTTGATTCGGAACGAAGAGATTTTATTATTCATTAAAGTTACCGTCAATATGGATTTGCCCTGTTTGCAGTTTGTGGTAAGATATGATATGAGTGCAAACAGTAAGTACGAGTACATTACCGGTCATGTATTTCATGCAGAATTGGCCCGACTGATAAACTACGTAAAATAAATATAAACTCGATAATGCTATTGACTAAACTATATCATTAAACTGAACGTTTTATAAACAATTTTTGTTGGCAATAACAAGTTTTATTATGCTCTTATGCGTCTTTGCCTCTAACATACGCAGAACGAGCTTATCCTTATTCTTTATTAATCTTATCCCATTTTTAAAATATTGATTAAAGTCGGTTTTGAAATAAAAGGGTTTTAAACATCATTTTCAAAGAATTTGAGCAACAAACACCAAATTTGGTAAATTATCCTAAGTTGTCATATATTGAGGTTTTTTTAGATACAGCTTGAAGATGAGTATATAATTATAAGTTTATGATATTCATTTATTTAACAGTTGCTAAGAGCTTAGCTGTGCATTAAGAAAACGACAACAAAAAAACGTTCAGAAACTCGCCTTAAGAAAATGCTGAGAAATGCACGTGCCGCTCAATGCCAACGCCATCACCTAGTTGTAGCTGGTTGCGACGTTTGATTCAATGACATCACCAAGACTACGTCACCTTGTTGCGTTACAGTATTAAAAAAAATTATTTGAGCCGTAAAACATATACATTGCGTAAAGCCTCAATATGAGTAATCGACTAACGGTTTCGAATTACTTGAAAATTATATCACGTATCTTCCGTATTTCTAAATGAAAGATCATATTTCATTATCGGTGCTTTTACCGCTCTTTAAAAGAAAGAAATTTGACTTCAACAGATACGATGCGCTGTGTTTTATATATTAATGATCAGCTATAAGTATAAATTCTTTAAAATAACTTTTACTTCTTTATACCTTCTTTCTACCCCCATTAAAATTCCAGCTGTATTAGCATATTATCCTAGTATAATTATAACTTTTAGAATGAAACCGAAATAATTTCAAAACACTTTAAAAGTCTATATGTTATATTTTATAGACTCAAATATTTATATTTTATCAGCAAAACACACATACAAAAAGTTATACTCATCAGCCCAAAATAATAATTTTGTGTTCATAACGCAGTCTGGCAAAAAAAAATTCATGCAGTCGGCACAGCCCGTATACAGTAGATAAGATAAACTTAGTTTGTTTTATGTACAAACCGAACAAATGGGTTGGTCGAAAAAAATATTTATGTATTCTACATAAACGGTGAAATATATCGAGTATAGTTTGCGGGTACTGATAGGCGTAGTATTTCTTACTGATAAGATTTCAAAACACAGTCACCGCGATTGTGTAAAATGCTGCACCTGTAATGGGGTCGTAACTTTATTAAATTCTTTTACCCTATTACACCCTGTAAAATGAATCTAAGTAAGAGAGGCGGTATAATGTTTTGTGCACATGAAGAAGGAAGCATCTTCCATTCGACAGTGTGTATGTTCTTAGTTAAAGACTTAAAAACTCATATGGCAGCTGATTCAGGTGTCAAAGGTTTCAAATACATTTCGAAAACTATAAGAGCTGGAGACACCAAATGCAGTATATATGTTTTGTTACAGAATGCAAAGATTACATTTATTAAACTTTTTTGTTTTCTTGCCTTGTTCCGACCAAATTTGGAAGAAAAACCAATTTAATTTATGTTCATATGAAATGTAGCGTTGCACTTTTTACATACATACACACATTTTAAATCCACCCTGAAGCCCTGTCCATTTCATAATGATCCAAGAATAAACACAGAAGTTAATCAATAATACATTTTCAGTAGTTTGAGGCCGACGGAAGAAGAAGCACAGCCGCTGTCTAATTTGCGCAGCTTGCTTCGAGTGTATTTTACCGCAGCTCGGAACTTTGGATAGGGTATATTGCTAGTTGGAATGAATAGTTATTATCGTTATTATAATTAAACAATTTATATACAGAAAACTTATTTTGGTCAAGTTTACTTTCGTAGTCTGATTGTAAGTTACAATCTTATCAAGCTGAATCATAAAGCCTTATACAACAATATAAAATGACCTAAATTTGTAAATATAGAACACATATTGGGAGTGTAAGTTGTCAAGGTTTTTTAATCGTACCCGCTTCAGGTGTGTAACCTGTAAAATTATCCTTCTACTAATCAAAATTATTAATATTAAATGGCAATTAAATGGTTGAAATTAAGAAACTACAGACGGAAAATCACAAGAATATTGATAACTTCGGTAAGCAAACTACAGAAAATATGAGCTCGCCAAATGTTTCCCTTCAATTTTAAGTTATGTGAACAAATTTTAGAGAATTACCCCTAATCTAATAGTGTTTCGTCTATTTGTCGATGTTTATTAATTTTTTTTTAATTCGTTATAAATTTGCAGACCGCACAACATGGTTTCCCACACAAGCCCTCTGCGTTGGCGTATGATCCAGTATCAAAGCTTATGGCTATTGGAACACAAACTGGAGCTATAAAAGTATTCGGTCAACCAGGCGTAGAGCTATATGCCCAACATACTTTAGTCAATAACTCGGCGTCGGAATTGAACGTTCAACTACTTGAATGGGTTTATGGCAGTGGTCGCCTTCTCTCGTTAACTGCAGCTAATCAACTTATATTGTGGGAGCCTGTTGGTGTTACACTAGTGCCTATTAAAACACTTCCTTTTGATGGAAAATTGAAAAAAGTATCCTCATTATGCTGCTCGCTAAGTAAAGATGTTGTATGGATAGGGAC